GCTGTCGAGCGGGGTCTGTCGTATCTGCTGGAGGCAGCGGATGCGCGCGACCGCGCGCAGAGCGCGGGCTGGCCTCTTGTGGGTGGTACAGAAGCGCTGGGAGTTAGCGCCGCGGACCTGTCGCGTCACCTGCAGGACGCGGTGGTCGTCGGTGGGGGGCGCCTCGAGCTGCGCGCCGCGGGTGTCGTCGCTGTGCGTGATGAACATCAGGCCCAGGGGCGCGGCGCGCGCCGTGATGGCGTTCTGCGCGAAGTCGCTCCAGACCAGCTTGGAGTGGAAGACGGCGTGGAGGCTGTGGAAAGCCTGCGAACACTGCGGGTGCAGATTGGTGTAAAGGGCCCACAAACGGCCGTAGCACCACCAAGTGCAACATGCATTGAGCAAGGCACGGAACAAGCGCCCGGTGTAGTTCGCCGGGGCACGGGTCAGCAGCGGCGCCGCCCAGGTCCAGCGTGGCCGGATGCAAGCGACGGCGAGGATGATGCGAACTACGAAACTGCCAGGGAGGCCGCGCAGAATGCCGATGCCGCTCTCGATTTTCGCCCAGCCCTTTCGCGGCAGGATGGGCGCAGAGGGGTCCGCGGGGGCGGCCGCCAGGCCGAGGTGCTCGACGCGCTTGGGCGAGTCGTCGTTGATGCTCCAGGTCGACGTCGTTGTCGAAACGCGTGGTCATGGCAACGTCAGCCGCGAAGGCGACCTCGTCGGTGGCCGTCAGGCTCCGGTCGTCCAGGCACGCCAGGCCAGAGTCGGGCGCCCACGGCGTAAGGACGCCGACCGTCGCGTTAGGGGCGAGGCTGTCGCCCTGGGGGGGCCCGCGCTTCGGCCAGATCGGCTGGCTGAGCTCGCCCCCCATCGCGCAGATACGCGGAGCACGCCGCACCGCCGCGCGCAATCGAGTGATGCGTGGCGGCATGCCCTGCCGCTCGATAGCGTCCTCCGCGATAGCGGAGTCGATGTTGTCGCGCGCCTTGGACGCGTCGTGCTCCGAGCCCGCCCGCTGAGAGTGCAGGAGTGGCGCCGCGACGAGATGGCGTGGGTGATGCTGGCGGCGCGTCGGCACGACGACTGGTGGGTCGGCGGCTCGGGGGCTGCCCCTGCGAGGGCGGACTGCCGGAGCCGCGGGGTGCAGGGGCCCGCGGCGATGGGCCTCGAGTCACGCCCGTTCTTCGGGACGCCCGAGATCTTCCAACGGAACAGCTGCATGGCCGAAGGAGGCGCGGAGGCCGAGTACATGGGCGATTACCAGGCCAAGTTATCAGAGTTCTTAGAGCTTCCCCCTATCGCTGGCGCTTTTACCCGTAGTACCCACATGGAACAATTAGCCGAAACAGCTGTAAACAAACTTAACGACCAACTACGTCTTGCAAAAAAACGCCGTGCAACAACAAGCTGGGGCGCGCCGGTGGAGGTCGCGCTCATCGCGTTGGACCCTGGCCATCTTTCTAAGACACGTTCGAGTTTCTTTGGGCTGGGGTACGATACTGTTGCAGATGGTTCTCGGGAAATACCCGCAGAGGCCCCTCTCCCCCGTCCCGCTGTCTTCAAACCAGCCACGGACGTCCCCGAGGAGGATGGCATTTCTTCCCCGGCGGCGGAGCGAAAGACGAGGAGGAGGAGGAGATGGTGTCCGCATCCGCTGCACACGTTCTTCCCCATAGAGACCTTGATCAGGGCCAACAGGCATCAACGCGAGCGAGAGACGGACGGCTAAAAAGGCGAACTATGACCAATGACCTTCTTCGCCCACGGCGGGAATTCGTTGAAATATTGATCCACGGCATGCGCATGGAACAACTACCTACTTAAGCGACTACCACTGAGGGCGTCTTCTTAGACAATAGCAACAACGAGGCAAAGATGCAGAGCGCTCGCGTCGCACAATAGCTTGACACGTTGTGGCAATATTGACATGCAGTCATGTACAGTTGGAGCTCGGCGGACAAATGATACGACGAGCTCCCCAGGCGGGTGGCGCGGTTTCCAATGACACAGGCGTAGGGAGGGGGCCGTACTAGTTCAACAAAGAGTAGGACACGCACTTAGACGCCTAGCAGTTCCCCACTTAAACGAACTACACGACCTCAGCAACGCGTTCATGTGCCCTAGTTCGGAAACTCTCATTGCAGTCAGTGAGCGAGTGGTCCGCCCTGAGTTCCAGGCCTTTGCTGAACAACGTATTCTAAACGGAGTCGTCAGCTTCGAGATCAACCGGGACAGGCACTTCTTTCTTACCAGGAACGGGGGCTTCCAGGGGCCCTGCGAGACGCCTAAACAATTCGTGGGATTTTTTCTTTCGCGAAGCGGTTGAGGAGGTGAGGTCGGACCCCGCCCGCGCCTCCATCCTGGCGTATTGTGAGGTTATCGCGGGCGACGTGCACGAGCGCGGCATTGACGTCTCATTATATTGTTTTGCTGATGACATATTTCGTAGACGAGTACTCCCACGAGGTCTTACAGCACAAGAAATCATCCCAAACATAACAGAAAGCGACACCACCATGAATCGTATCCGGACCAAATCGATTTTTTCTCCGGATATGAGCAAGAAGGACGTCATCCCCCACCTTGGCTCTACTTTACTTAACCGTCAGTTGCACGACCTCTGCCCGAATGCTAGAAGGACATGTTAAGGCACGCGCGCGAAACTTGGGAGCACGCTACGCCATGAAGAGCAACGACAGCGTGGAGGTCGAGATACGAGTGAAGGAGATGAGAAGAAGGTGGAGCATGATGGGGCTTTTCTGGCACGAAAGGGGTCTGCGTCGGATTAAACGTGAACTGTTTTTGAGCGCTGTCGTGGAGAAGGGCCTCACGGGGCTCCAAATCTTTCGTCGTCGCCCCGTTGGAGCGCGCGCGTCGACACTGTCATCGCTCGCTACCTCCGAGTCTTGATGAAAGGCTCGGCCACGGAAAGGGGAGGCACACACGCAGTATCGAGGAGTAACGCCGAGGTGCTGCGTGCTTGGCAGATCCTGCCGAGCGCAGGCGAACTCGCAGTCCGACGGGTTCGATGGCTCCAAACGATGGTCCAGCACACGCAAGCACAGATTCAGACTTTATGGGTGCTACTAAGACATACTATGACAGAGCCACCCACGTTGACTCCTTCAGGCACATTGAGTAGTTCGGCCAATCCCTGGACCCGCCAGTTTAGCCGCGACTTAAACCAGCATCGCGACATCAGCGGCACCGAAACATTCTTCGAGGTCTGGGATGTCACGGGCTGAAGGAGCTTTCCACGGCTAACTCGGACTCGGCATATGAACTACGACAGATCTACCCTATTATTCTTCGTTCAGCGGCTTCTACCGACCAGAAGCAGTGGGACAGACTATTCGGCAAGGTAGATTCTAGCTGTGCACCCCCTCCACTAAGGGACGTTATGTTTGCAGTATTCCTGGAACTGGTAAACAGAGTTGCGGTCTTGATTTTCCGCGTATTAACAACTACTTGCTCATCAGGCAGCTCATCGTGGCATTCGTTCTGTTCTAGCCTCTGGTATTATACTAAACCAATGTCCAACTTGCAACTCGGCCTTCCGCGGCATCTGCGCTACTCAACATCATTTAAAGAGGGCGCATGTAAATGGAAGGTGCCAGCTGTGACGAGCTCGCATGACATGGAAGCTTCAACCACCTTCGTCATGATCATGCAAACTATGCGACTTACCCCCTTTTGGCTCAATCGCCGCGTTCCACCGCCATTCGGGGGTGGAGCGCCCCCCTCTTCCTCTCCCGTGGCTGGCAGTGCCGCGACCAGCGCATCCTCGCCAGGCGGCGGACGCCCGCGACGCTCTCGCGCACTGGAGGAGGGGCTCCGCCGCCGCACGTACGTCAAGTGCGCCAACGACCAGCGGAGGACGGCAAAAAGGACGCCGGCCTCGTCGAGGCCAAGGGCTGGCAGGACGGCAAGAAGCAGGTGGTGACTTGATGCTGCGCCAGACCATGCGCAGCGCACAACAGATACGCGAGCTGCAGAGCACCCTCTTCGACGTCTTCCTCGTGCCAGAGGGATCGCCCATCGTCTCGGCAATGCAGGAACAAACCTCGATGTACAGCGAGAAGGTGAAGAACAACAAGAACCACGAGCTCGGTCCGCCCCACGTCTGGGCCATGGGCGGCCTGCTCAAGTGCTTGAAGGACACGACGCCTGACCAGCAGGATCAGCCGATCAAGATCTCGGCAGCGCTCCACCAGACGATCGTGAAGGCCCACGACGAGTACGCCGAGTACACGCTGGAGAAGAAGTGCGAGCTCGTATTAGTATGCAAGCTGGAGAAAGTCTTCCAGAAGGGCAAGAAAAAACTAACGATGTGCTTCCGCAACCAGACGTTCAGAGCGACCATCACGCAGGCGTGCCAGGGCATCGAGCAGATGGGGCTGAAGCAGGGTCGCGCCCCCACGAGCTTCCCCGAGCGGGAGCTCCAAGCGGTGCTGGAGGCCATGGAGGGCTAGAAGCACAGCGAGCGGGTCAAGGGCTTCCTCGGGCGGGAGCTCCAAGAGGTGCAGTGGGCCATGAGGGGCTCGCACCACAGACGATCGCTATGGCTAGACGTCATGGTGGTCTTCCCACAGATCGGGTACGTGAATTACAATTTTGGGATGGCACGATTATCACTGCTGATGACTATCACACGGCTCCAGCAGAAGCAATAGATCGCGAGGTTGGGCTGACCCTAGGTCTGCCCACGCTTGCTGCTGGAGCTGATCGCGCTGTATTTCGGGCGGCCCGCCGTACTGAAGACAGCGTTTTACGCCAGAGTCTTATTCCTCCTTCTCGGCTCCGAGTGGTCACTGACTATCTTGCTTATCGAGGGGTGATGCCAGGAACCCCAGTTTAGAATCATGATAGAGAGCGATCGGGTTTTCGATCTAGCCAGACAGTGGAATTCCCAATACGTTTCTCGAATTGCTAGCACTTTGCCAGAGCTGACATGCACGCGGTCTACAGTAGCACCAGGTGTAGATGCTATGCTCTCTCCCGCTCTGGCTTAGTAACGGCTACAGAACATGCTGCATGCCAGAGCTGACATGCACGCGGTCTACAAGAGCACCAAGTGTAGATGCTATGCTCTCTCCCGCTCGCTTCGCGGGAATCTCTCGTGGAAAGCCGCCCACGGTCCCCTCACACGTCGGAGATCGTGGGAGCGTGCCCTGGGGTCGACATGATCCCGTAGGGCATCGCTCCGCCGCATCTGGCCCAGCCCCGAAGGGCGATCCGATCCGCACCTAGCAGGTTCACCGCTCCAGCATCAGCAGGCAATCCAGAAGATGGACTGCTTAATGATAATTTTGATGTGAGATTTGCAGCGGGTGCAGAGTGCACGTCGCGTCAGAGATCGATGGAGCTCATGGTGGTCAGTCAGTCAGTCAGTCTTCCTCCTGCTCCTCTTCCTCCTCCCCCTCCTCCTCCGCCTCCTGCGTTCACTCCTCCTCCTCCTCCTCCTCCTCCTCGTCCTCCTCCTCCTCCTCCTCCTCCTCCTCCTCCTCCTCCTCTCCTCCTCCTCTCCTCCCCCTCCCCCCTCCCCCCTCCCCCTCCTCCTCCTCCTCCTGCGTTCACTCCTCTCCCCCTCCTCTCCTCCTCCTCCTCCTCCTCCTCCTCCTCCTCCTCCTCCTACTCCTCCTCCTCCTCTCCTCCCCCTCCTCCTCCCCCCTCCCCCTCCCCCTCCCCCCCTCCCTCCTCCTCCTGCGTTCACTCCTCCTCCCCCTCCTCCTCCTCCTCCTCCTCCTCCTCCTCCTCCTCCTCCTCCTCCTCCCCCTCCTCCGTTCTGCCGCTGTGCGCGCGTGCTGCCGCCTCGGCCCCGTGGCGCTCGCGCAGCAGCGGCCCCGGCGGGCGGCGCGGGGCGCCCGGCCGGCGGGGGGCGGCCTTCTCGGGGCCCAGGGTGGCCTCCGAGCCGTCCTCGTTGTAGGAGACGACGAAGGTGCCGTCGCCGTTGCTCTGGGCGGCCGGGCGGCGGGGGAGGGAGCATGGAAGAACGAGACAATGCAATGATCTCTTTCTGACATTTTGCTCTCCGGAGGCCGGGCCAGGGCGTACGGGTGAGCGCCCGGTTTGCAGCGATCGCAACCTAGGATCCTCCGGCGGGGGAGGAGGCAGGCAACCGCTCGCACCCAAACTCCCTTCTCCGCCAGGGCGGGTAGCACCGTGAGCAAGGGGAGAGGGGGAGGAGGAGGAGCAGGAGGAGGAGGAGGAGGAGGAGGAGGAGGAGGAGGAGGAGGTGGGGGAGGAGGAGGAGCAAGGGGTCGTCGCCGAACGTCGGATGAAATGTCTCGCTGTTCTCGTACGCTCAAGGGCGGACTGGATGGCGCGAGTGCAACTTCCGCCACCAGCCGCCCCGACCCTCAAGAGGGTGGAGGGGGAGCGAGATACAAGAGATACAAGAGAGCGTGCAAGTGAGTCACGAGCACGCCTGAACACGACAAGGATGACTAAAAGTCAATCGTACACGTGCACACAGAAACAAACGTGCGCGCGCACGCGCACGCGCCACGTGCGCACGCAAATTAATCGGAGCTGTCCGAGGGAGAGGGCGGGGGCATGGGGGCAGTCCTGCATGACGGAGCCGACCCAACTCCTCCTCCCTCGGGAGGAGAAAACCGAAGAATCAAGGAGGAGCCGAGCACACGGGATCTGGCAGGAGGAGGGAGGACAAAACAGGCAGCGACGATCTCAAGACTTGGGGCAAACCCTGCCTCGACCCTCGATGCCGTGGCCCCTTTTGGGTCTCCGGAAGGCCTGACCCCCTACGCCAGGTCAATTGTTCACGCCGAACCTTGTTTTTGGTCGGGCCTGTCCCCTACAGGGGGATCTTGGACGAACAATCTAAAATACTCAAGCAATACTCAAAAGATGCCGAAACATAATGTTTGAATACTCTCCCTGTAGAGGGACAGGCCCGATTTAAAACCTTGCTTTGGCAGTCCTGGGGCCCGACGAGGGCTGCCCGCGAGGCCTAGAGGACGGCATGGGAACTCTCGTCGTGCTGAGTGCACGATGCGAAAATGTCTGGGCCTCCCTCGATGCCAGGACCCCTCTGTTCTTC